GGTTTCAGAGTGATCTGATATAGTTTCAATGGAACTGTTTTTATTCCTGGCTCAGCTGAGTCTTTCTTACTTGATATTATTTTTGCAAACATGACAATGAAACTGTTATGACCCATATCTAAGTATGCAGGGTTACTTTAAAATTGATGTGCTCCTTCACAGCATGCATCCTTTCCATACAATATATCCTCAACAAGGACTAGTTACAATGAAAGTATAAATCTGTTCAGCTGCATCAGAGTTAATTTCTGATACAGCATTTGAAGTGAGTGACTCTAAGGGGATCAGCACTTCTCCCAAAGTAATGGCAAAACTCCCAGTTGACTTCAGTGGGAGGAAGAGTATACAAAGAATAGGGGGAAAATAAAGAAATGGAGGAAATGTCTTCATATGGAAAAGGCAAGAGTTCAAAGATGAATTAATATCAGCACAAAACCCAGAAAGTCAGCCAAGCAAAAATACAACTGAGGGTCAGAAAAGCAGCCCCATCATTTATGAATCAAAATACTCAGCCAAAAATCTTGGATTCTGGAGAAGGAGGATGGCCCATTGTTTGGAATGCTAGTCTGGGATGCCACTAATTCTGGGCTTAGTTTCCTTCTTCATCATGACCTTTGCCTATGACCTTGAACTTAGTCAATGCTCAAACGCCCCATCTGCAAAAAGGCCCACCCCTACCTTGCAGAGATGTTGCGAGGATGAATGCATTAAAGATTAAAAGATGTTCTAGTACTTAGGAATATGCCCTCAGAGCCTGGGTTGGAGCCATGTTTAGGAAATAAAAATGCTCATTTGGAAAGTTAATTTGGAACTAACAAAGCTGCACACATACAGATCTAGCTCTGTTCCCCCTTCCCATATGAAAAGGAGCAACATCAGCCATTGAGAAAAAGCAACAAAAAAAGAAAAAGAAAAAAATAGATTAAAAAAAGAGATGGAGATGTCCCGAGCATTTTTAGATTATTCAAGGTCCAAAAATCACTCAAGAAAGAGGGGATCCATACCAGAACTTTGAAAGAAGAGGGAAAGGGCCACAGAAGCATTAGAATCAAATCTTTAAAGCTTCTTTGGAAGCAATAGAGGTACCAGTGGATGGGAGGACTAATGTAACACCTATATTTAATAATGACTCTAGGGAAGATCAAGGAAATTAAACACCAGTAAGCTCGATTTCAGCAGTAGGGAAGATATTGGAAACACTAATCAGGGACAAAATAGGGAAAGTTATGATTTAATTAAAGATATTCAGCATGGATTCACAAAAGGGAGATCATACGTAACAAAACTAATAGAATATTTTGAACAAAATAACAAAAAAAAAAAAAGAATTGACAGAGGAAGCTGTGAACATGATTTACTTGGTCTTGCTGCATGACCTTCTGCAGAATTAATCTACAATGTCAGTAAGTCTTGAAGAGAGGACGAACTATATATGGGGTAAAGAATTGGACAGGATACTGAAAGCATAGTATTCCTTTCAGTAATGTAGGTCCATGGGAGTTGATGGCTAGTGTACCACAAGTCTCTCTTAACAACACTAATCTGCCCTTTTTCTGTATCAGTGACCTGAAAAAAGAAAGGTGAAAAAAAGAAAAAGAAATAACTCCCATTAGAAAACAAAAGGGAAGTTAGAGACAGGACAAAGGGAGAGGATAACAAGAACATCAACCATAAATTATAAAATGACTTGGAGGAAATGGGGAAAGTGATTTGATACAATTCAAGAAAGAAAAAATAAGTAACTTTTCTAGGAATAACAGAGATGATATACACTCTGTTCCCATCAACTAAATGTAAAAGAGAAGAGGTGTAGTAAGCAATTAGGACTAAAATTTAAGCTAAGACCTCACTGCAACACATACAGTTGGGGGCACAAACAAGACCACTGAATGTAGACTTTTAGGAATTATTCCTGCACTGTTTAATGGGACAGCAGGGAAATATTTGGAACACTGTTCACTAGTTTTGGCCACTTCATCATTAAAAAAAAAGAAAAGAGAAAGCATATTAGGATGTGGAGTGACAAAATGATCTTAGCAAGTCAAAAACAAACCAAACTATAATCTGAGAAGAAGCGGTTGAGGCATACAGAACTGCTGTAGAAGGTTCCTTAAGCTGGTGTCATATCTACCAAGTGGACATGAACTGACATGAAGAAAAAGCAGGCACAAAAGGAATTTAGATAGAATTTCTATATGCAGAGATGATAGTCAACATGGCACATACAACCAGACAGCGGTAGCAGCAACCTGTGTAACAGAACTGCAAAATGAGTCAGTTGAAAGGAAGAAAGGTTGATTGTGAAGGATAGGATTCTTGGCCTCCTGTCCTCAACTACTACAAAATACATGGACCATGCTTTGAAACATAGACAGTTGCAGGCATTTAGTGGCATATCTTGGGCCAAATCCTCAACTTACAAAAGTTGTCAGAGCTTTGTATATTCCCATGTGCATAAGACTTGGGGGCCAATAACTTAGGTGTATGCCCAGCCAGACATATGTATAGATGCATACTTGGTTAGTTGTCATACAGGCAAGATAGCTGTCCAGACATGTGTTTATCTCCATGTTTAAATTGGGCTTGTTCTAAAATGCATGTGCACATGCCTTAAAAAAACAGCTACTTTCTTTCCAGATTCTAAATGTTTTTAAACTCAGGCATCTGTTGTTGGACTCAAGGCACCCCTTGGAAAATGGCAAATCATCTTTTTCATTCATTTTTTTACTACACAATAAGAATAGAGCAATTATTTTGTTGAAAGGAAGACCAGAAAAGGTCAGAATGTTTTTGACACCAGATCTCCAGGTTTATCTCATGATTCATGCAGTCATATTTAAAGGTACTAATACTGTATTATACCCTTGAAAGGATCTCAAGGCACCTCAGAGTGCTGCAGCACTGCACGCAACATATAGAAGGGCAATACATCTGAGGGCATGATTCTCAACCAGGGTGCCGCAGCACCCTGGAGTGGTGCAAGATCCTTTCAAGGATGATGCACAGTGCCACACCATATTATTAGCACTGTTATGTGTACAAACATGATTCACAAGGCAAATCCATAGATTTCAAATAGGAATCCACAGCATCAAAAACATTCCTGACATGTTATGGTCTGAGTTATTTGCAACAGAAGAATTGCTCTATTATTTTTCTGTAGTTAAAAAATGAATGAGAACTGAGAGCTGGCATTTTCTGAGGTATGCCTTGAGTCTAACGAGAGGTGCCTTGAATCTAAAAAAATTGAGACCCAGTGCCTTAGCGAGATACTTTTCTGTAGTGTTATGAGCTTTATGGTGGATCTTATGAACCCTGTATGAAGTTGATGTAAATATTAATCTGAAAATCTTATTTCACAAACTATCATAGAAATAAATAGGACTTAGACATTGCACTATCCAGAATACCATAGTCATTTGCATTTACATTATTATATTATTACTGTTTGAAATTAAGAGCAAAATAACACACAGCGATCCCAATCAGGATTAGTTCCTACTATATCAAGTGCTGCAACCCCAAATACACACCTGAACAAATTATCCTAAGCCCCACAATTCAGCCAGAACTGACCATTAAGTAGGTCTTGAGGAAAGATTTCATGGAGAGGAAGCTTTTGTACCAGGCACTGTAAACAAAGGTGCAGAAAGAGTTGGGAGAGACACAGAAGCAAGCAATCAAGGCTTGCATTATTGATGAGGCTGGGAAGGCAGGGCAAGCAGCCAATATAGAGATATAAAGGCCTTTAAGTCTAGAAATCTAGGGTCCATTCTAACTATGCAACAACACTTGTTTTATTTTCAATCACATTACCAAAAAAGGACTAAAAGTGACAAAATATTTCCAACTAATTTAGCACAACCACAGGTCTTAGTCAATCATTATATTCAAATACTGTATCCAAATTGGATACTTAAGCCAGGTAAATATACAATTCCAATGAATGATAATAAGGCTGATAGATGTTTTGAAAAGAGAGTTATTTCCAAGCATTTGTATTTTCAAATGGCTGAATTACAGATCCCTAAAACCTGTGCTTTTGTAGTGGAAACTCCAGCAAACCTTTAACTACAATGTCACCTTCTACAAGTTCAGCGTAATAAATACTAGAAATATATAGATTGTAAGACTAAGACATGGATCAATAGCTAGGGATAAAAAGAGAGAGACAAAGATAAGTTCACAGCACTCAAGCAGCATAACAAGAACTTAATAAGAATGTTACGTACACTGTTCATTACTGTTGTGGCATTCCCCACTAAATGTTTCAATAGCTAATTGGGGAATGACAAACAATCATATTGGAAACTGTAAAGAAAATGACATAATTTGTATACTATTTGTAATTAACTACATTTGATCCGTTTCTAATTTCTTTACTATAATGCCATTTACAGTGTTATCTTTTAAAAGAAATGTCCTGGTAGCAGGATGCAAAGTGTCTTAAATTTTGCCTAATTTCACCCACTGTCAACCCCTTGTAATGGCACAGGAAGGCAGGGCTCCTTTGCTACATCATCCTGATGTCAGGTGCTTGTGCCCTATATGAAGATTCAGTCTAAATTACTGATGAGTCATAGTGGCAGGTGCATCTTGTTATCTTCAACCAGGAAATAGAAGGGGTGAAACAGAAAAGGGCCTGCAGGGAAAACTAGGCAGGCACACTTGGAGGAAAGAGAAGTGCTGGCTGATGTTCCTGTTTTGTTATATTTTTAGCTGTTATATTTAAAGTTTGCCCCTAAGAAAGGGGAGGAATTGGATTGCATATATGGTGTATGTATGTTTCTTCATTGGAACGTGGCATCTCATCTGTTTACACTCTCCCCCCACTTCCCACCCTGAAAAGGATTTTTATAAAGTTAAGCATACGGAAATGCATTCAGTTATTTAAATAATGCTAAACTTCCATTGACAACAGAGCCTAGAGAAATGCCCCATAATGTTAACCAGACCCATGAATACAAGGCTTCCAAAATGAAAACAAAGTGTTAAAATACCTGTCTGGATTTTCTCTTGAAAATCAGTCATTGAGAATCATCTGTCAGTAAGACAAAATTAATTACCACATGTAAACTTGGAAAAAAAATCAACATAAATTTAAATATTACAGAATAGTACAAAAGTTGTTTTATAAAAATCCTATTTTAATTAATTATGCATGTTCACCTTTCTAATATCCCAAACTAGCCAAAAATAAACCTGTTTCAATATCCAATTTATGGGGAAAATAAAAAGTTGATTTTTATTTTGCTTTTTTGACTTGAGAAATTCTGGAAAAAGCCTTCTACAAAATACAGTAACTTGCAAAATTCAGTCATCTCTTAAGTATATATTAGAACTTTGGTACTCAAGAAGCCACCTTAGTTGAAGTGTAGATGTGTAAGTTTAGCAGACAGAGCAAATAGAAGCCCTACTAGTTTATTTCCTAAAATTAGGGTAATTATCATGATTCCCCAGTGCAAATGTTATATTAATTTATGCAAATCTGGTTTTACTTATACAATAAAGTCAATTGCTGTAAGTACATTAAACACATCTTTTAAGTTTAAGAAATTAATTTATTCCTGTGTCGAATCTTTAAGGCTTTTTTCAGGAAGGCTAGATTTGTTTACTATAAAAAAAGATGAAAAGGGCATTTGAAATTTGGCAGTGACCACAAGTGCCCACAAACCAAAGGCCTAAGCTGCTCAGTTATGCACAGTCTAGTGGGGTTACTCACGTGAGCACGTAGAACAGGACACGACCCAAACTACCTCCATTAGAATTATGTAGCAGATGAGTGTCAGTGGAATCCACCTCCCACCTCCAAAAACAGATTAAAAAAATCCAGCTGGCATGATACATGTGGTACTTTCACCAATAGAAATCGTTTTTACCTATTAAAGAAACCCAGTCTCTATCTATAATGGGAGCAAAGCATTTGCATTATCTCCTTAAACACTGCTTAGCTTAGCCACTTTTCAACACATAACCCGCTGTCCTCTCAATGAGAACAACTGTTTGATTACAAGGGATGAGATGCAAGCTTGGTCTGGAATTCTGGCCTTGCGCTTGCAGGGCTTGACGAGTACTGATTTTAAGACTGACTCCGAATAGTGTGGGGTTTAAAAAAATATATATACATAGTATAATTTATCCCTAGCTCCATTCCCACTCCTTTTGAGCACCCTGCTTTATAATGCTGCAGCATGTGATTCTATTTGTGTTCGGGGGGGGGGGCATAATTTTAGATTATGTAACAAAAGTAGGGGAATTGGGTTGTATAGTGTATAACCGAAAAAGGGCATAGAGGACTGCAACTGTAATAACCTTCCATGGCTCATTGACGTGGGTAACAGTAAACATTTTGCTTCAGTTTTCTAAATCACCCCTTAACACTGCTTATGTTTAGGCCAAACACCAGATTCTAGATTGCTAAATTCAGTAGGAGTTTTGCTATTGGCTTCAATGAGAACAGGAATTGGCTTTAAGGGCTCACTCTGAGAAAATGATGGATGCCTCATGTTAGCTGTTGAACACTGTCCACTTCCCAGAATCTTTAAGTATGATGCCCTCAAATGCTCATTCTTTCCTTAGAAACAATTATATCAAAGAGTAAATTCTCTGTGGGTGAGTCTACACATGCATTTGATGCGGGACCAGTTTACTAGCGAGTAAACTACATGCGAGTAAACACTCCCAGGTGGGCACCTGCACATGCAGAGACATGGGAGTAGATTTGCTGCTCCTAGCAGCAAACAGCTTCTGCTTCTTGGGGCCCTGCGACAGGCCCCTACTACCACCAGAGGGAACCGAAGGTTCCAGCCACAGCTGCCTGCAGCTACAGGTCATCTTTAAAAGGCAGGCCCACTCCCTGCTCCTTGACCAGCTGTGTTTCTAGCCAGGAGCAGTGTGCAGAGCACAGGGGCAGCACCCAGCAGCTCTCATACCACAGCCTCTGGCACCCCACGCCATAGCTTTTAAAGCCTCTGCCTCTGGCAGTGATGCCCAGTGCCCTGGGCTCCTGCTGGATGCTGCACTGGCCCTACTGACCTGCCACACCAGCTGCTGGCTGGTCCATGGCTATCTGGGCCCTGCTGACTCCCGCATATGCAGTGACCACTTGCCCAGCCCTCCTGTGCTGTCCCAGGGCCACCTCCATGCAGCTGCTGCCTGGACCCCATCCTGCTGGCTGGACCCTGGCAGGGATACCAACAATGGGCTCCAGGATACCACTACCAGAGCTGTTCTTGCCTTCCTGGGCCTCCAGCCTCACCATCTCTGCGCCTACTGGGCCAGCCAGGACTGGTGGCTGCACATCATTCAGAGTAGACCACCTGGGATGGTAAGCAGTGGAGGCATTGTCCTTGACCCAGGGCCACCTTCCTGGGCTTCCAGGAGCAGCTCTGCTCGCACCTGGAGTGGCAGAACACCATCATGCATGTGGACACCTGGCTGGCTATCACCCTACTGAAGCTGGTTACGCCCACCAGCCTCCACTACATGGGCCACCTCTGTGGCATGGGCAAGTCCACTGCTGTGGAGGCTGTCCTGGAGGTGTGTGGAGCCCTCCAGGACATGCTGGGGCACACCGTCATGCATGACCCCCTAGAAGTGGTGGTGGTATTACATGTCCTGGGTTTCCCCCAGTGTATCGGGGCCCTGGATGGGATCCACATCTCCATCATGTGCCCGCCTGATGGCGACTGCCCCTACTACAGCCAGAGGGGCTGTCACTGCATTGTGCTCTAGGCCACCACGGACCAACACAATGCCTTCACCAATGTGAGCACTGGCTGGGTGAGTAGTGCCCACAATGACCATATCTTCTGGAACTCTGCACTGCGAGTCCTGGGGCAGAGCAGGCACTTAGCACTGGGGTGCTGGACCTCTAGCTGGGTGCCATGGTGGTCCCGCCCCTCCTCTTTGGGGACCCCACCTACCCACTCCTCCCCTGGCACATGTGGCCCTGCACCAGGCAGCTGGACCCCTGCCAAACCTATTGCAACAGGTGCCTGGGCCAGATTCGTGCCCTGGTGAAATTCACCTCTGGCTGCCTCAGGGGACATTGGCGCACCCTCACCACTCACCTTGAGTTTGCCAAGGACAACATCCCCCAGGTCATCATTGCAGGATTCATGCTGCATAACATCTGCAAAGTCCAGTAGGAGGAGGCCTGGGTGCAGGTCTAGGCAGAGGAGGCACAGCAGGCAGAGGACACCTGGCAGTGGAAGCATCAGATGCAGGGGCAGCAACAGTGGTGGGCTCCCCCCCACCCGCCGCAGAGGCCCCAACCAAGCTGCACACCCACCAGTGGGGGCTAGGGTACTGGGTGCAAAAGGCACTAGCCAACCACCTCCTCCTGCACTCCTCACTGTAGCCTGTTTGGATAGCTATTCATGGACTGCCCCCCCCCCCCCCCCCTCCACTGGCCACACCCAGCACCACGCTCACTGCAGACAATTCTCAGAAAAACATTTTATTGCTCTCACAACAAACAGACCCCTCCCCTCACTACAGAGGCCATCCCTCCTCCCACCCCAACAACAGAGCCCCTCTACCACTCACACAACCCACCAATAAAACACCCTCTTCTCCGTGCAAATTATTTACAATGCAGTTTGTGTGTGTGCCTTCCTGGGGTGGGTGGCCATGGTGCTGGGTTACCTAGCGAGCAGAGCCTGGGAACAGGCAGCCAGCACCCTGGCCTCTGACTGTTCTCCCCATAGGTGTGCATGCTGTGGCAAGTCTGGTGAGTAGGAGGCTCACCCAGGGGCGATGGCAGCCACTGCTCCCCCAGTACTGGCAGCTCCCCCTCCAGCAGCCAGTGACTAAGGCCAGCAGTACCAGCTCATGGTCCTAGCCCTGCTGCAGGCAGCTCTAGCTCCATGCCCATGTGAAGTCAGGATTAGCTGTGAGGCTGGGGCTAGGTGGGGGGGTGGGGCTAGGTGGTGGGGGACCTAGAGCAGGGGCTTCTGGGTGGGGGAGGCAGCGCTGGACCTCCTCCGAGACCCATGAGGGAGCCTGCTACTGGGCAACGGGTGGCTACCAAGAGGAAAAAGTGGGAATCATGAAGGCAATCACCAGGGCCAGGATAGTGTCCAGCATCCAGCAATCCTCCTGTGTGGCCTGCACTGCCCTGGCTATGACTGTGCCCTGCTCCTGCAGGGCCTCCATGTGCTTGTGCCCTGAACTCCAGGTCTATCCAGTCCCATGACTCCTTCCACCAGTCCTGTGCATCCTCATGATCCTGTCCATGTCCTCTGCCTGCCACCTGTCCTGCTGTTCAACATCCTCCACCCACCACATCTGCACGGCTTCCTGCCAGTCCTCCACAACCATCACCAGTCAGTCCAGGAGGAGGGTCCAATTCTGGGTCCTCCTTCTGTGGATCTGGCTCACCCTCAGGGCTCTGGCTGTGGTTGGTGGTGACCCTGAGGCTGCATCCCAGCTGTCAACTGTGGCCTCTCCCCCACATGCAGCTGCAGGGCCTACAGAGCCATAAGAAAGAAACTGTTTGTGAGAGTTTGCAACATTTCTGTACCTGGGGGTCATGCACTGCCTGGCTTGATTGGGGGTTGGTCATGCCTGGGTGCCCAGGGACCATGGTAAGTCAGCCGGGCAGGTCCAGGCTCAGGCAGCCACCACTCAAGCCCCCCATCTCCGCTTGCTCCCCAGGGGCTGGTGGATTGTTGGGGGTTGGCCACAGGTATTCCCAGGTTGGGACAGGCCAGGCTCCTGGCAGCACTTGCTGCCACAGCTATAGACCCCACTGTCCACCCTTCTCCTGCAGTCCCACTGATCTCCTGTGCTGCCACCAAGCCCACAGTGCCTGGGTTCAGGGGGCCTGGGGCTCCCAGATGACTGGGATGAGGAGGTGCCTGTGCCCCCACCCTCCTCACAAGGGACCTCTCAGGGAAGGTGCCCTGGGGTCAGCCCCCCCAATCGTGCTGCTGCACCTTGAGTGTACCCCTGCTGTGCATCCCAGGCACTGTGCGAGGAACTGTTTGCATTGACTGAGGGGTGCCTGACTCACTAAGCTCTGATGATGATGGTTAC